ACTCCAATAAATAAATAATATCCCGCTAACTGAATATTTACTGCAGACTAAATCTCCTAGTAGAATTACGGGTTTACTCGAGATTATTCAAAAGCCTGAACACCAGTTATAGAGATAGTTTATTGATGAAGCTCGGTAAAAATCCACAAGCGTACAGCTAGCAAGCACACAGGGAAAGCAGGTGTGTGTGTGAGTGTTAAAAATCCATACATATTAATGAGTGTTAATGGTTGTGGATAAATTATTGATTGTCTTTGTTCACAGCCAATGAGAGAACAGATTAAAGATTGATGTGCAGACATATGAGCTCAATCAGACTGACACATAAATTTACAAAGTGGATTAAATGTTAAGATTACAGAGAGCACACAAAAAAATACAGTAGTTGAATGGGCTTGCTACAGCCTACTATATCACTACCATAGGAGTTACAGACTATTGTTGTAATGTTTTTTGTACAATTTACTTATCAAATACAAATGGAAATAAAGATTTTGTCGTATAATAATCATTAGAAAAGGTTTTGTGGAGATTTAGTATTTTCATAGTTGAAAGCGTGAGTCAATTGAAGCTAGACTACCAGGGAAAACCTGGAGACACTGGACAGCCGTTTCATCCTATTATGGGACTCCTCAGCAGTGAACATCCATGATCTCACCTCGCGAGATTCGAACCCAAGACCTACCAGTCTCGCGTCAGAGCACTTATCTGATAGAGCGTGCATCAACTTTACTCCGAAAGTTCAAATCATACCTGTAAAGTTTTCATTGGATGTTGAGATCACCTCATGAATTTATATAAACAGAAAATATATGATAAAATGAAACACATATTTAGCTTTTTTCCTCCTTCGTTTCTTAGCTGAATTTCCAGCCCTAAACAACACGATGATTCTCTTACGTGAAAAAATATAATGTCTTTTAGAAAGATAGACTGCACTATAGTTTCGATCTAAATACTAACCTCATTAGTCTCAATGCATAGAAACTAGTTGATCATATGAAGATAATTAACAATGGTATTTAGTCATATAATAATCCACAGAGTTGTTTATATCACACCACTATATTTGAAACAATTGAAGAACCACAAAGTAGCTTCAATAGACAAAATGGTGCCTTTTGAACTGGTTACTGTCTAAAAAAATTAATTATTGTTGTTGCTATTTATGGTTTTGAATAATTTGAATATGACAAAAGGCGATACATCGACTTTATTCACTATCATGAATGTCTGGTAAACTTATAATAATCGTATGATGAATTTTCTTTTCAAACTTCCACAGGTTATTTACTTTGATTTTTTATTAATAAAAGTTAACTATAGATAGACAATCTGGTAAATCATATAAAATATTCTTTCTAACTTCAGATAATGTTTCATAATTATACTGGTAAACGTCAAAAAGTCACAGTTTTTCTCGACTGATTTCAGTTTTAACTGTATGACTTGAATATACAATTCAGAGAGGATTCAATAAATAATATGCTCAATGATCAATCAATCTATTTAGACACTTTATAGTTAGCCTATGATGGGCATTATTAAGTGATGAATAGATATTTAGCTATTTTTACCAAATCAATTTTGGTTTAGATCAAGGTTTTGGAATTCTTGAGAACAGCTTTTCAGGATTTCGTTCATTCATTACCCAACTACTCAATTGATTATGTTGACTGAAATTTCGTATTCTGTACATCTAGCTATTCCCATTGATAGAGTTTATTTATGTCAGCAGTGAAACAATCATCATCAATGACAGTGAATGACGGTCAAGCAATATTAAGAAATGGTTAAAGTTGAAAATGTGGATTATTGTGATTCCAGCTCTATGGTTTTAAAGTTATTTTCACACCTTTAATATGGGTGTCAACTACCGAGAAGCTTCAAACTAAGATGAAATAACTAACTAGCTGTCAAGTGTTTCTCAATCTGATGTCAGTTTATGATGAATACCTTCCTTCAATTTGAAATAGGCCTCAAAATACAACCAATTAATTCAATCTTTTCTGAAGGATATAATTATATCCCATGATATATTTCAATTAACTTTTAACTAAATTTATTCTATAAAGTTTTTTTAAAACTTAAATATCAAGAAATTAAAAATATCACTAACATCTAGAATCCGATCATCTGTTCTAAACTGTAATATTTCATCACTGTTTAATACTTTGCATGGAGTTATATTTTGTTCAGTTCATACAAAAGTATTGGATCCACTTCGCCTGTTATCTTCTTTTAGATCTGTATAAAACAGGTCAATCCTGTTACAAGCACTAGTCTTTGATGAAAAAAACTATTTTTAGCATACATGTAAAAATGCCTTAAGAACCCAAACAATGCTCACTTTCTCGTGTTCGCTAGGGTTTCAAATGTCAGAGTTTATGGAAGTCTAGGAACTGACCAAGAAGTAGCTATCTCAAACATTCTGTCAATAGAACTTGTTTGTACACAGTAAAATATTTATTGATTTGTATTGGTTGTTTGAATTATTTCATCGAAGACAACCTCAATGTCCCCGTTAATTCAGAAGCTTTTTAAGTAGAGGTGTGTGGCTGGCAATAAAATTTAGGACACACGTTCACCCCGTGACTAAAACCCAGCACCTGTCACTGCAAACACCATCGTATTATCCACTGATCTACTGAGTTCAAATAGCCACTGGCCTGTGCAATGAGAATTTTAATTCATTCGTTTTGGTTGTTAAATATTTGTGACCATTTCAATAATAAAATATAACTACCCGAACTCATTTTTATTTATCTGAATAATTGTCAAGTTTCAATTCATTAATTTTTGTCTAATGGAGTAAGACACTTTTATATGAAGAGCAATTGAAATCTACGAGATTTTAAAAGTTTTGAATACTCTTATCCAATAATTGGAAAGTATTTTTTATCATTAAATTTTACACTTAAACATTAAAGACAAATATCAAAATGACGTAGGTTATATATTCCCTATTCAATCAAAAGAAAAGTACTCAACTTACTTTATTTCAATCTAATCATACTTATATGATATTTATACATTTTGTTGCATGTAATTCCGATACTAAACAGCTAGACAATCATTCATATTAGATGTCACTATAAAGCTGTTCAGCAATCGTATGAAGCTCCTCAACAGTGCACAGGCACAACAGTTGTAGGGTTTGAACTTAGGTTATTCATGCTTTGCACAAAATGCTTAATCCTCATAGCACTTAGCTACCATTTACTGGTTGTAAGCTCACACCATTAGCTCACTGCTGCGTTCGTCATGTGATAGACTGGTTGCATGAGTTCCTACATTACTAAATGTCTAATAAAGATAATAGAAGATAGAAGGATGGTCATAAATTCCTTCTACTTCCTAGAACATAATTCACTTGATCATAAAAGTATAATACAAACAAATAACATATCTTACATAGACGAAGTTGGATAAAAAAATGTAGTGTTAACTCATTGAAATTTAAGAACAATACAAGAACAATACAAGTCATGAGGTAACTAGAACTATATAACTGCATAAACTAACTCATTGTCACATGCTCATTAAAAAAAACTAAAAAAACCCAGTTAATTCACCCAAAAACAATTAACCATGTTTATATTGCCCTACTTTATTACCATTTCTTAACAATGATTATTGACAGAAAAATTTAACTAATATTTACTCAGAAATTAATATTTTCATAAGCAGGTGACTGAATAGTGATTCCACTTTTCAAAGATAAAACTGTTGATTTATTCCATAGAAGAATGTGTATTACAGTCACTCCAATGAAAAGATTAATTTGATGTAAAATGTAATATCTATGGAGTTTAATTGTTGTTTTCTGGAATCTATTACCATAAAAAAATTCCTTTAATATAATTCAAGTTAATTAATTATTTCAATAATCAGTATGCTATTTTTAACTAAAAAAATATTGTTTGTTATTTGATAAATATATCATTAAATGAAACTGTTTGTTTAGTGAAAATCAATAGAAGGTGATTTCATCTTATTTATTATTATTTGAACACATAAATATTAGTACAAAGGGGCGTCAGATACATATGCGCCACACAAATCTCATTTAATTTGTGTGAGGGTTGTGATACTGCCCGATTGCCCAAACTGAAGCAGGTGGTTCGCTTAAGGGGTCACACCTGGAACCTTTGACCTAAACGACTGATCCATAAGGCAGTGGATCAACGTTAGGTGATGTAGTCTCATGGTGGCCAGCGACCAACCATTGATTCATACGCCATTTGTTCCCTCAGGATACTGGAGCCCATGTGCACCATTGGTTTGGAATCAGGTTTTTCCAGTTCCCCTAGGTGGACTTTCCGTGTCCACCAACCCGGTTGGAGCACCGGACATTCGCTTTTCGGGGACTATCGTAACCAGTGGTTGGAGATTCTATGTGACATGGCTCAAAATCGATCACAATGGCGTAGGTGTATACACTCTTTGTCTTCCCTTAAACCTTGAGATTAAAATTGCTTCATAACGTTCTTCTTTCCTATACTATATCCTTATATACAACCTATCTTTTATATACTACCACCACTAAATTAACTATATCTATGAATCCGGTGTTCATCTTGTTGTACTAACGAGGTATGGCAACTTGGACCGATGCATATATGTGCCTGGTCCTACGTTGTAGCCGACTGACTGACTGATACAACCAAAATGTTAAAAACTGTAACGTAAATAACTGCTCTCGTAGAAACAGACAACTCTCTTCATATCACATAAAAAGTAATCACCAAAATGTAAAACTATTGAAGCGTCAATCGACTTAGTGTCATTATATTTGTTTTTGAATAATAAGTCACTTAAATAAACTGTCTAATCAGCACAACAATTGTTGTTTGCATCAATGTGTACATCGAAAGAAACCGAGTTAGTATCGTGAGTATGCACCCCATATAACACTAACCTAACGTAATTTTCACGTTATTTCTGTAGTTCATTGCTTCTTTTCAATCAACAGTTGCATTTACTTGAAAGATAAATATAAGTTTTGCACAATTACTTTATTGTCATATGATTCATTCTGATGAAATGTATAAAAACAGAAAACTTGGAAATATGTCATCGGTTCTCTTGTAAAATTAAAATATATTGCAAATATGAATTGATGCTATAAATTTTAATATAAAGTGTAATACTGTCAATTAGATTGAGGTCAATCTACCGACTGTCAACTCCTTATTTTAAGAAGTAGAGGTTATCTTTTTTTGAAGAAAAAAGAAAAGAAATATACACGACACATCATAGGCGTATAAAAATTTAACAGTTATTAAGGACAAAATGTTGTATCATTCCCAATAGGAAAAAGATATTTACAATAATATATATGTGAGCAAAATTAAACCTGTTGTCGTCATTGTTATCACAACATGGCGCCTGAGAAAAATAGAAAACCCAATACAAACAAATTCAGATGAGATGAAAGAACAAATAAAATGAATGAATCTGAGGATAAAGTATAAGTCAGCAAAAAAAATTATTAAATATACAAGGTATTGAATTCAATCCAAATTGATATGTACGTAAAAGAACAAATCAAAAGAAAAACAAATGATGAAAATCATAAATTTGAAAAAAAAGAAAGGGAATGAGCAACAAAGTCAATATAAACAAATATAGAAAAAAATGTAGTGTAGTGATTGCAACTAATATTAGTAAATTGAATAGATTTCATCCATCATAGATTGTGATATCAACCTACAGGATTCTTGTTTTTCTACAGATGTATCCAATGAACCATTTGAATCCGAGTGTTGTTCCGGACCTCGACCGAAAAATCGTATCAGTTTACGATGGACACTAAAGAAAGTAATAATGAAGCCAATAATAATTAAAATCATTTAAAAAAAATATAATATACAATATTGTTATATAATTATTTATTAAGATTAGAAAGCAAATAATGATAACTATATATTTTAACTTAATAGATGTTATATAATATGATTTCATTTAGTATCTCAGTTAACGTTATCAATTAATCAGATTGTCGTATTTTCCATATGGATAGTCAACAGATTGTCATTGGTAATGTAGTATATTTTTCCCTTTGTATTCTGCAATCTGCGTTTGTAGATAGGTACCTACAATGTTAGATAATAGCCACTCAGTCATAAGCAACGTAGAACCTGTTACATTTCAGGTAAACAATGTAACTGATGTAATACTAATAACAGACAAATTTGGCTAGATGATTGGTGATATTGTAAACCTTCATCAACTGAGGTGGTTAGGATCGGTATTACGCAACCTTAGCTAGAACCTATCTTGATGAACGACGCTAGCTGGGTTAGGAGCGATTCCAAAAAAAGGAACTAGGAGAGCCCAAATCAAGACGCGACATCATCGCTCCCCCTCCATGAATTACACTATTGTTAGTCCGAAATGTATCGGTATATGCAGATTATTGGTGCAGACATTGGATGAAATGAATCAGAATCAGTTTGAATGACTCAGATGCAATCACTGTTTATCTTACTCAAACTCTTGAGTAATTGTATTCCCTCATTTAATCCACAGTATTTCTTCTTCTTGAACCATATTCTCAATATTTAGCTTTCTTCATTACTATTGGTACTATTATTATTTTAACTAGTTTACTATTCAGTTATAATTTCCCATCATCAATTGACTGATACGATGTACGACTACTTGACATGATGATGAAATAAATAAATTAGCTTAACAAGAATAGTATTTTAATCAGAAAAAATGTTTAATTAACAGCATAACCAAGATAGGTTTTATTCAGCTTGGAGAGATTGAATGTATTGTTTTCGTTGGTTCCTATCCTAATCTAAATTTAAAAATTTACAAACTAACTATTCATTATTCATAAAATGAAGTATCATTGCACTAACATAGAAAATGAAAAAAAACAGAAAAGACATTTACATCATCACCTTGAACATGGAATTAATTATTTTGTCTATTATATGTTCTCACTCCTGAAACTTATTCTTCACATCTCTTTGATGTGTTTTGGTTTGAATAATTTTTTAATGTTAAAGTTTGGTACGTCTGTGCATCAAGCTAATTTATTCGGTACTTCAACTTTAATACACTGATAGAAACTATTTTCATTCGTTATATGTGAAGAATTATATTTGAAATAAACTCAGCGACTGAAATTTTAATAATTGCAACGTTTCGTCCAGCAAACTTGTCTGGACTTCTTCAGGGTGATAATCAAAATTAAAATTATTAAAGAAATATATAGTGTTCAACAATCATATCAGATCAAATCTATACTGTGCTAATCCAAACGTTGGAATTATTTAAATTTCAATCGCTGAGATTATTTTAAATATAATGTCCTCTCTATACTCGGTGCCTAATTGGTGTCAAACTCTTCGTCCTATTCTTGACAAATATTCGTATAAATTATTTTCTTTCATTTTTTTCTTTAACCGTTAACTAGAATAAAAGTTTTTTTGTTGATAAAGACCTCAGAAGAATTGAAATTGAATATTCAAATTAATCCATTGATGTATCGATTCAATGATCAATAATTAGAAAGTTTTATTAACTGATCAATTGGTCATTGAACATAGAATCACAATGAAATAATCAATATAAGGAGAAATGAATAGAAAAAATTCAATAACTAATAAAAAATGAAAATGCGCTAAAATTGATCAAAACAAAATTAAATTTATTATTTTTCTAAAAAAAAATTTATTTGGAGATAAAGCATCTCTAACATAGTTTCGTAGACAAAAAAACAATTAACATTTAATTTTAATTCCTTAGAATCAAATCTTCTAACTTGAATAAGCTTCTTAAAATGCTAAGGTAAGCACAAAATTATAACTATTTTGTTACCAACGGTAACACTTTATTAAAACTAATAACCGCAAACGCCTTTTTTCCAATTCAATTTTCTACATGACCTTAGCCTTATTCTATTTGGTTGTTGGTACTTTCAGTTCACTAAATATCTGCATCCTTGAAGGTTATGTTTCTGTGAGTATATAGATGGCAGAGTTGTACCAATTCGTTGTGTACGGCTTGTTTTACCTTGAATATCAAGTTTCCTACCATTTGTCTTTTCGGCAATGTTAACCATTATTTGTTGACGTGTTGTGTGATTACGAAGAGAATCAATTGTATTAAATATTGTAGGCCCGTACTGAAGCTTAAATAACGTGATATAACATGAAGTTATGAACCATATTCCTTTTAAATTTACTGCGTCATTTACGAGTTTGTTTTTTGCATACTATTGAAGTTATTGGGATTCATATTCACAAACCTAACATTTGTGCACAAATTAAGTTTGTGCAACAACTCTTGGCCTTTGATATAAGAATAGATTTAAGCTAAACTTCGATTCACTCCATTCTCTTGAAAAATTTGTAATCGCTTCCAGTTTTGTGCCACCATATATTTTTAGTATTCGTTTATTGATTAGCATCAAACCATGATAAAATTTACATTTTATTAAAATATTTTTTTTTGATTCTCTTATTAAATATTATGTAGTCTGGAAACTGTTTGATTTGATTTTTTTTCAATTTTTACATATAATTACTTTGATTATTATGATACTCCTAGTTCTAATTAATTAGTCAATCAATTGACATTATTTGCATAATCACTGGTGAAATTATAAATATTATTGAATACGACTACCTGATTAACACTATTTTATTGATGTAGAACCATGATGAAAAACGAATCGAAAGGAGATTTCGGTGGGACTAAAATTTTTGAACGACCTTTGAGCAACATTAAAGTGACCTTGAGACAACTCACCTCCTGATCAGTGTCAAAAGAGGGTTATAAATTAATATGAGAGGTTAGGATTAGGATTGAGAGTTAGAATTTAAGGTTATGAATTACAGTAAAGGTTTTCATCACGAACTGACACCAGCTATTTAACTATATGGATGAATAATTCTCCCGCCCAAATCCTAGACTTACTATCTTTAATTTCACTAATTCGTCCACAAATTATAGTCTCGCCGAAATTCCTTGTCTCTAGTCATCATTTTACTTAACTTGTAAAATCAGTGCACACCTTGTAATACTATTGTTTTCCTTTACATAAACTATTCATTTACAAATCTGTTTTGTCTCAAAAAACAGGCAGAAAATTTACCGCCGTTATTTTAAGCTTGTCCTTATCCTAAAGGTTATGGCAGACTAACCAACCCTTCTAAGTATTCAATAAACATGCGATATCTAGAACTTTTCTGTAAAAGTTAGTGTATCAGTGCTGCATGTAAGAGTGTAATCATCTGGAGCTATCTACATATGTCTATGAACACGTAACTGTAGTGAGTCCCAACTTTCCGGATGAAAAAAAGTAAATGAAGTGAAAGTAGAGCTCAGAATGAATGCCCCAGTGAAAACTATCCTATTATATACCACTCACCCATTAACTGAACAGAAAATTGCCCGAAAATATTTGATATTGCATAGATAATAAACATCAAAAACGGATGTGCTACATATTCACGGGCATGTATCCCATCTCCCATACTTATACTGTTCAAAGGGAAAATTGAACAGGATATTACTGAAAAACGTTAAATTAAGAACAGTCTGCCGAACATTGAGTAGACTTATCTTACCATACCTAAATTTTAACGATAGTAACAAAAACAGTCTCAACTACATTATGTAGTCATCTAGTCACAAATTTCATGCAAAAAGTGTATTACCATTTGGATCGATCAAAGAAAATAATCATTATCAATATAATTTGTAAACATAGATTATGTCAAAAACGAGAAAAATAAGCTCGCCTTAATATATCTTAACAAATACAATGTATGTTATTGTGCTTACTACCCTATCGGTTGATAAACACAATTAAATTTATTTATACAGAAAGTTTCATATTATGAGAAAACTCATATAATATTATTTTATGTTAAAACAAGTAATGAGAACAAAATAATTCGAATGAATTTAAATTGTTCGATAAACAAAATTATCATGTGTTACTTAGTGAAAAAATAGTGTACTTTAGATAAACGTTACTATGGTTACATATCTTCAGTATCCACCATTCATTATGTTACAGTAACATCATTTAAGTTAATCAATAGGCAATTTTCTAGAAATGCTCACGAATTAACTGATGTTTCAAACCTATCGACATTGAAAATTAGGTCAGAAACTAAACCCCCATAGGAAGATAAAGTACAAAAATGTTTAAACATACAAACAGTTAACCGAAACAACACTTCCTAAAAAAAATATGACAGACTAAAAGAAAAGAAATACTACCAACAAAGACGTTTGTATTTTTAGTTAACAACTGGCTCTCAACAAAGGGGAACATTAATAAAATAAGCAAGGAATATGTCCCAACAATACATGCCAAAAATTTAACGCAAAAAGGGAGGAATTTAAAATTTAGGAGTAAATCACCAAGAATTTTAAGGTAATCTTAACAATGATGTATATTAATCTAATATTTAGTTATCTCTGATTAGTTCATTTGGTTGCTATACTACGTAAATGTGAACAAAATCTTTAAGGTGTTCAAACATATACACATTGTTTGCCCTTCAAAAAATAGTACCTTACTATTGAGAGGTACGATTACAGTCACATTAACTGTCATTATACTCTAAGTTTGAGCAAAAAATATCTATTAATGTAATATGCATGTTTGAAATTCCTTCCACGAATAACTGCTGCTACCATATCTCTGTCAACTGATGTACTGAATTTTCATCCTTGTGACCAAAAGATGTCTTTAGTGTAGAGAGTTGGGAAATTTATTGAATTTATTCATTAATCATACTTATTCCTATTCTATATTAGCGATACCTTTCAGTGTGGGACTTGAGTACATTAACTCCTGAGTGCATAAATCTGTACTTAATAAACAAGTTGCACAATATGCTTAGGATTAAACATAACAATGAGCATGGATCTTCAAGCTAACCTAACACTTCACCGATGTAAAACTCAGAAAAATTTATCTATTAGACCTTGGATCATACTTATTGGATGAAAAATAGAGACTGGATTGAGTTAGGAAGAACAGATCCTAAACTTGAGAATTATTGGGAATTCAATATAGGGTGACAATTTTATTAGTTTGTATGTTTCAGGAATATACGTAAAGTACTACTCATTTTATCTAGTACAACTGAGAGTCAAAAATAAAATACGCCACACAAAACAAAATTTGTGTATGGGCTAGGATACTGTCCGAAAGCCCGGACCGAAAAATGTGGGTCCCTCAACCTAAAAGTAGTAGAACAACGTCAAGAGCTGTCTTCCTGTGGTACCTAGTGACAAAAAATAGGTCCATATACTGTCCGTTCCCCCAGAATCCTGTAAATTATCCACACTATTGGTTTGCAATAAGAGTTTTACAACTAACCAACGTAGACCCGCTCCAAGCACCGGATGTTCGCTTTTCTTCCCTTCACTTTCACGAAAAAAACACCACTACCATATACGGACAATGAGTAGGAATTCACTGGTAGATGTATAAACGCATGTCCGTATGAGAGCATTTCGAGAGGAAAAGCGTACTCTCACCGCTCTCAGCAGTACCATGGAATCTGAGGGCTGCCTACAAGTCTATGAAGTTATTCAGGTTAGTAAACTCTTTCCGACGCAAAAAAGATAGTGCCTTCTCCTTGTTTCCAACTTCTCAGTCATTTTATAACTTATTTTGAAATATTTTCAAATAAACTTAGTTTAATTAAATAGTAACTAGTGAAATAATAACTTTGTTCCTTAACGCTAATAATCCTTGATAAATAAAGAAATAAAGATATATATATATATATTTCCAAGAATTGAAAAAGTTTATTGGCAAACGAATCCAACTTACAAGCAAATTATGCTGGATTTTTGAATTAATTCTCCATCAGAGCACCAAATTGTTTTTTTCTTTTGACTTACAGTGGGATTAGAAGAATTTGGCTCAGACAAGGATGTAGTTGATAATGATTCAATAGTTGAATCATCATTTATACTAACATTGTGGATTATTTGTAAATTATGCTGTTTATTACATAAACAGTTTGTATCTAACTTAGCAAACTTTTTTAAATTAGATTGATTTTGTGCAACGAATCGAAAAGCGCATACTTTCATGACACTAATAAATGGAAAATTAAAAGGATTTTCTTCAGGTGTCATATGACGATTTTGTGCTATACTCATAAGATATCGAATGAATTGAACTTTAGAACATTTATGCACTAAAACCAAATCCAAACAGCCATCACCTAAATGTGCCCAAGGTGCAGGGCCACAAACAGCTCGAGAACATCGACAACTTTGAACAAAGGCATTAATTGCTAAAAACGTGCCTCGAATAGTATGCCAATTTCTTATTGGTTTAAGTGAACTCCGACTTGGTGCTAATTGATTATCATGTAACTGTTCTATTCCAATGTTTGAAATTTTTTCTCTTTTGTTTGACATAATATTGCATGAATTAACATCAAAGGAATTTCTTTCGGAATTTTTATCTAAAGATAAAATGAACAAGATTTTTTTAATGAGTTTATTAAATTTACATTGGTATTGAGAAAACTTATATCCATTAAGCAGACCGTGGGTTTGAATCTAGTCCAGTTTATGTAGCTCTTAAATGCCCTGGTACCACCAAGGGTGGGGGGGTCCAGCTCTCCATCTTCAAATGCTCTCACACGCCCACACGTATACAAATAATAACAAAAAAGTCTACTCACTCTATTCTCGCAGCTAGGGTGTTGTTTACGAGATTGAGAGGACGAAAAGCGAATGTCGAGCACCTTAACCGGGTTGATGGAAACAGAGGTTTCACCTAGGGGAATTGGAAAACCCTGATTCCAAACCAATAGTGAACATTGGCTCCAGGATCTTGGAGGAACAAATGGCGTATGAAATTATAGTTCGCCACTGACTACCATGAGACTATATCACTTAACGTTGCTCCACTGCCTTGTAGATTAGACCTTTTGATCAAAAGTTCGGGGAGTGGCCTCCTAAGAAAACCATCTACTTCGGTTTGGGAGCCCGGGCGGTATAGCAGCCCTCACACATATCGAATGGTTCATGTGGCACATGCATCTGGTGCCTTCTTGTACCGATGTTGGTGTTTAAGTAAATAAATACAATTTTGGTAACTGAGTCATATCATTAATTGTCTATCATACCTTTGAATGATGTTCTTTGTATAAACGTGTAAATACCAAGACGTTATAAGCAATAATAGGTCAGAAACGCTACATCATGCAATGATCTTAGTTGAATATCTATTAAAAACTAGAAAGTATATATTATACAGTTGAACTACTGACTTTCACTCTGTTTCGCATTCCTGACTTAATTTAATGTACAATACAGCAACACTAGTATCTAGCACCATCGATGAATGATAACCGTCTTCATGAGAGCACGTGTCTAGCCTTCTTTGGTTTCCAATAATTCCTTATTTGATATCAATTCGTGGCAAAAATCATGCAGCAAAAATGTAGCAAACGAGAATAATTAGAACTGGTATAAGCCCTCCAAAATCACACGATTTCGAACAATAACGCAGTAGCTCCAAACAATTGAGATCAAATAACGCAAAAGTTATAATACCACTCTCCAACTGACGATGATATAGTGATAAACGAGTGAGTATTTACAAAAAATTGAGCGTATCATTGAGTATTAGCCATTAAAGATGAGTGCAGTTAAAAAATTCAAAATAACGATTTTTGCAAAAAAAATTATCCATAGACTGGATTCGGACAAATTCTGGAAAAATAATCCATCCTCAAGCAAAATGAACACGAGTATAGAAAAAAAATGAAAATCACAACAACTACTATAATAACTAAAATTTAACTCACCAAATATTAAATCAGGTAAATGAGAGTTGAAAATTTTACGATCGTCAATATTCGATGAAATACTCAAGCCTACATCAGAATCCAATGATTTCTGATTGATTAGCGCTTGTGAATCAGTTACACTTTGAGTACTACTATTATTTAAACTAGATGGTATACTAGAAAAATCACTACTACCTCGAATATTCATTGATGAATTCAAGGGCACGTCAAATTCCGTTTCATAATGTTTTATACTACATTTATTCGGTGAATAATCGACAGGCAATGAATCGTCAGTTTGATGATAATTATTTGATTCACAAACAGAACATCTGAAAGAAAAAAGTTGATATACAAAAGGCACATAAGAAAACATCAAAATAAAGTAGTGTGTACAAATAAACGGGACAGAAAATTATATTCAATAGAAAAAGATTTTTCTATGAAACCAATTAATATAAAGTCTGATAACTTAAACTAAAACGCAATTAACTTTGATATTGTATTGAATTAAAGTAGCGAATAAAGGAAGTAAGAAGTTAATGTGGCGAGAATATACTAAACTAGTTAATCGTGTTACCATACCAATAATGTTATCAAAAAATGATCCTACATCATTTCATAGGGGAGATGATATTAAGGTGAGTAACAGGTTAATCCATCGAAATGTGAATGACATGTGAAATTGAATTTTTCTAATCGTAATCGTGTGTAACATGTATTTTATCATATCTTAAAAAGTATTATGGATCCCTAATTACGTAATATGACAACTATGTGTCCACATAATAAATTATTGAATTTTATTGTTTAATACAATTCATTTCAATGTAGACAAATCTGACTGTTAATCTAATTGTAAATAAATCATATAAAAAGTAGTATATTCATAAATCCTTTTTTTAAATTTATTGTGAAAGTCAAATAAATCTTTATCACCAGTCTTTAGTTTTACACTTCGTGTCTTTTCTCTTCTTCCTAAATTGTCATGTAAATTCAATTTGGTGTTATTAGAAGCGGATTAGAAATCGAATCGAGTGTTTACTTAGTAAGATTTATCCAAAGTGAAATTGACTAATGGATCAATTGAAGGTATACATATTCAATTAAATATTATTCAACACTTGATGAAGAAAATAAACTAACCAACGAAAAAAGGTCAAATTATCAAGGTAAGGAGTAAAATATCGAAAATAAATAAATAGTTGTAAACAATTAGAGTTGACCTAAAATATAATAAATTAATTATTAATTAAAAATAAATTATTTAAGTTATCCAGTAAATTCATGAATATCATCATACTGTTTAATGACTATTATAATTGTCAGAAGGGGGTTTGTGAAGATTTTAATAATTTTATGTAGTTGAAATCATGAGTCAATCGAAGCTAGACCACCATGGAAAACCTGGAAGCACTGGACGGCCGTTTCGTCCGATTGTGGGACTCCTCAACAGTGGGCACCCACGATCTTGCCTCGAGAGATTTAAACCCAGACTGATAGGTCCTGTCGACATAAGTAGTATGTAACACCAATCAGAAGAGGAATGAGTAGTAGCAGAAGGCTATGAAGGTCGACTATAGGAAAACAGAAGCGGGAATAGAAAGGAAATGTGACTTGAAAGAATCATACAAAATCTGAAGAATAAATGATGGAGTTATGCAAATGAAGCATTCATGTATGGTTCTTGTACTTTACCAAGAGATTCTGTAATTATGTATTTAAATACATTGGTTGTCTCCACCTGTGTTCTCATTCATTACAGCCACGCTTAATAGAACCTATCAGGCTATGTCTTACAACACATTTCCAATTCAATAAACAGATTTACAAGTACACTAAAGGAACTCCAATAGGACAACAAATATCAGGGATGATCGCAAAAGCTGTTATGCAGACTTGAAACTACGATTATATCAATAATTAAACCAAATCTTTGGATGAGTTGGGTAGATCGCATGTTTGTTATCCGCAATAGAAAATATAAACACAATGATTAGCAACATTTCTGAACACATCAATTCTATAAGAGAAGAATCAGAAAACAAATTCCAATTCTTGTATATGTTATTCAGTGAAATAAACACAGGAACCTTGGGAACCCGAATATACAAGAAACTAGGCCAAACACATGACGTACTAAGTTACAACACTCACAACCTAACAGCTCACAGAATCATTTATGTACAGACATATTTCAAGAATAACAAAACAAACTCAAGGACTCCGGTAACAAGAAAAATTAGAGAAACTCATCTTCTATGCTTCCTGAGTAGACATAATTATCCCTAAAACTTTATCAGAAAGTATCTAGAAACTCGATACATCAACAGAAACAAGAAAAAACAAATTGTTTAACCATATGTCAGTGATGTGTGAACGAGGAAAATAATGATTGACTGTTTGCTTAACCAGATTAGCAAATAGTCTGAAAGTTATTAGATGAGTTATATATTTTCCTACCATTATTATTATCGTGATTGTTGTTGGTTTTTGAGTGGAAATATACTTTTATTCTAGTCAGGCTAGTCACGTGTTCTTGATCTGAGTTGTGTCGAAGTCTTGTAGAATAGACACTGGAAGGGTATCTAGTGTAGATATTCGTCAAAGGGAAAACTGAGGGTTATAACAGTGAGAAAGGTCTCAGAAATTGCCAAAAGGATTTTAAAGCCTTTCGGAACCGAAATCGCTTACAATTTAACAGAAACACTTTATTTCATTTTATATAAACCAGAAGACACAACGAAAGGCAGATGCAATATCACCCACAAAATAAATCAGTAGGAAACTAGTGAAACTTTAAAGAAAATCATAGTACTTACTACAAGTATAATTCTCAAACAAATGCATCTACAAAAAACAAACCGTTTTAGACATTAATGATAGACATCACCCGTTTAAATAAAAATTTATTGATAAATATACATTAAAAATAGGTTCATTTAAATTATCTCTTTTCGTACCCACTATTGCAAACAATACCATTAGATGATAGGTTGTTTGGATCCGAACACGGTAGAAAAGATATTTCGCCATGATAGGATGCATGTTGTAAAAGTGTCTTTAAGCCTATATACAAATGAACAAAATGTAAAAAAAGAAAAAAATCCAAACATTGAACAATTGTATTTTAAAACATACAGTATATAGATTCAGTGTATGTTAGAATAATGTCAATCAGTCAGCTAATTATAGACTAGATGGAACAAAGGTATGTGTAAATGGGTCGGTTCAAGTGGTCGCACTTAAAACAACACATTAGAAATGGATAAAACGAAAAGCAAACAGATAAAAATAATTATGTGGAGAGTTGACAATTTTAAAAAAAGTATAATCCGAAACTAACGAATAAAGTCAGTGACACTGTATTTTCATACCATGTATTATTGCGATTTCCTCCTACTCACACAACGTCACAAAAACAGTCGACGAAGCTATCACGAGTTGAATTATTAATAGTATTTAAAATTGTAGAGTACTGATCTGTAAAGAGATATGACAAGAATAAAAATAACAACGACGGAGGGTTCACCTAGTGGAATTGGAAAACCCTGATTCCAAACCAATAATGCACATGGGCTCCAGGATCTTGGAGGAACAAATGGCGTATGAAATTATAGTTGGCCACTGACTACCATGAGACTATATCACCTAACGTTGCTCCACTGCCTTGTAGATTAGACCTTTAGATCAAAAGTTCGGGGAGTGGCCCCCTAAGAGAACCACGTGCTTCTGTCTAGGCACCTGGGCAGTATCACAGCCCTCACACAAATCTATTGATTTGTGTGGCGCATATGTATCTGGTGCCCCTTTGTGCCAGTATTTATGTGTCTAAATAATAATAATAATATGCTTGATAAAACTAAACATTATACGATGAATTTTTTGAACGAAGTGACTCATAAAAACAAAGTACAACAGTGGTTAAGTAGTTGAAGCTTTCAACGTTCCCTCAGTAAGTCACTGATTCAAACTGGGTTCCATTACATTTGACTGGCTGAATCCGATTACCATTAAAGAACTAAGAAAGTATGATATTGTTCACTACTCACTAGCTAAACAATCGCACATAGACAGTGACTATTGCTATATGTACATTTTACTTCTGTATTGCATCTTACCAATTGGATTTTTAAAAAGGGAAATTAAATGATTAATTGTAAGGATTAGGAGACTTTGATTTTTCTTTAACTTGCTGTGGCATTTCATGGCAATATGACATTGGGGTTATATTTATCGGATTAACATTATTTCAGGTCGATATGTTTGCATCAATTAAGCGTGAAATTCGCTCAGTATGACAAGTTCGAACTTTCACCGCAGAGATAACAGAGCCGACACAAATATAACAGGGGTTGACAGGGCCATAACAAGAAGGTATAAAGTGATTGGTAAAATTCAACTAGATATTTATATCATTAACTATGACTAAATAGAAAAAACACCAGACTTTACAAACGAAGAAATTCCAGTCAAATAACTTTAGTAATCTGAATTTAAGATTTGTGTTAATGACATGTAGAGGAGATAGAAAGATAGGAGGAATAAAAATAAATGTTATACACGATAAGTTATACATGATATAATCGAATCGAAGTTAAGAAAAAATTCACCACAACAGTGATAAATTCATACCAGAATAATTATATCTTTGAGGACCCATCCAACGCCGTTTATCATCATTACGCAAAAGATCAGAATGAAACCCATAGCCTAACATCGTTAGTACATAACGAATAAATGTTCCATCGTCATCCGCATGCACAGTTACAACATCCAAACTAATATCATCACCTATCCATTAAAATGAACAAAGGGAAAATTACATTTGTAGGAAGAAGAAAAAAAAGGAATTCGTCTTAACCTACTCATAATTATGAAATTATGATTATTTAAAATAAATTTCACAATTCAAAGACTTGTGGGCACTTTAAATTATCATAAGGTTGAGATAGAAATGTAACGAGTTAAGCTTTTGCATTATATTTACAGATGAACCTTTGTACAAAACAGGGTTTTAGGTCGTCTTTAATAATTGAAACTTTGGAAATTACATGAGAAGTGATATAATTAGGTCTTACTTCAATGGTTCTCTCCATGACATGTAGGCGGCTATCTCTGAGGTTAATAAGTAACAGAAACTAGAAAACCACCGATGGAAATCAAAGCAAAACCTTAACAGTTTGATCATATCTTCAAATGATAGTCTTAATATAGAAGGAAGTATGTTATGATGGTGGTAATAGCAGATCATGAATGATTCGTTACAAAACTCCAATAATCCATACACGTTTTGATTTACGTTGTAAAAGAACCTATGTAGCTAGACATCGAAAACCTGACAAAGGCTTTGAATCAATCTACTTGAGAAAAAAACCGGGTCTAGTAGAGTTAAAAATTTACCACTCGATAGATTTTAAAGCAAACAAATGCTTCACACTGTTCTAAACTAGCCATCCTTCAAGATTTAAAGATTCTCTTTGACTAATGTCATACACATGCTCTTTAAGTCTCACTTTCGATGGAAAACAGCTGTCGGATATTGTAATGCATTAACTAATCACTTTTCTATAAATACACTGAAAATGTTATTTTATTTCTATGAATTTACCGACTTTTTTAATTTTTTTTGAATTGTCTTTATCAACAACCTTTTTTGACTAAGCCAGCAAAAGTGTTTCTAGTAAAGACCCATCGAAAGAAGATTGTATTTCCGATTTCCATAGATTTCAAAAATTATCAGTTATACCCAAAACTTTATTGTATTAATTCATTAGGAATTGTGTCCAGTCACATGTGAACTCTCGTTTAGTATGACATTCATATTCACTGTATCCATTCAGGTGAACTACATTCTGAGTGTGTTTTCGATATAACTCTAGGTATTCTTCCCTATATGAGACAATACTAGGTGTGTAAAAACTAGTATATAAATCAGTGTATTTCATAAGTATCAATGCCAAGGTTGGACTTGATAGTTTCAAATAAATTAAGTGTTGAGTAGAAAGTTAATAATATCTTTGTTATATCTCTATGAGTAGGAAAATTGTATTTCTTACTTTTCATGACTTAATGCAAGCCACTTCTTCAAAGTAAACAAATGGCAAAAATAGATTTATTATGAGTGTATTTCAGTCCAAAGACGATTTATTTTCGGGAACGTGCATTACGGAGAGTCAAACCACCAGTCCTTAGTGTTCTTTATCTGCATCGGTGGAATTACAGTAGTTGACGTTTGTTAAGCACTACAACTACGGATACCACAGTAACGATTCAGTCAATCTACAAGTTCTGGTTCCATTATAACTATCTGATCCCAGTTATAACTCAGTTTTCAGTTCAAGTTACCTCTCAATTCCAGTTTTCAGTTATCATCAAACGTCTGCCTTTGAAGTGACAGTCACAACAAACAACGCAATTACAAGTTTAAAAAACTTCAATTTCAGTCAAAGAGCTAAAACTAGTCCTCTAGTTTAGAGGAGATTAGCCCATTGAATTTATGTTATAGCTCATCAGTGTATTGAACGAACGTATGTTTCAATAATCAAGTCTAGAATAGCATAATAATTAATTATTTTAAACGTTTTATCAAATAAATCACTTTGTGTTATTCATTTAAGTTCAAAAAACACTAAATCCAGTCCATTCGGAATCAATACCTCCGACCCAATCTCAACAGATAGACGTACTAACTGCAACAACTGCTTTACCTTTTTAGACATCGTTCTCCGGCAGTGATTCAATTTATATCGATTCAATATTAGATCGATTTATACATTTTAATTACAGGTAACATGCTCTCAACAATCAATACTTACCAGAAATTATATGAAGAGCCGCAGTTACAACATCATTGGTACCATGAACAGAATATGAGACAGCATCTGTTGAACCTATAAAATGGAGGAAAATAACAAGTCAACAAATATAAACAACTAAAATTATTGATTGTAATTGATATTAGATGGTTGAAGGGAGTCAGTAAGAAATTCTGAATCCCGGAGTCATGCTAATTGGGATTCTTCGGTAAAACTTTATTACATAACATTTGAGCCGGTTATAGTAGTCGTGGATGAACACCAAAACACCAACTCTGAATACTGGATGGGTTCTTCCTTTGACCGGGAGGTTTTATGGCGGAATTGTTCGGTATTAGTTTTCAACTCATGAAAGTTTCTGCTGACGATAAGAGTGCATAATAAAGAGGCACAGGAAGGTACTATACAAGGTGGAGGTGAACAAAATGATTGTATTGAACATTCTAACCAACCAATAAATACCGTCGAGCGAGGTAACACAACATTAATATCTCTGCATATAATGGTAAACATTTTGAGCTTACCAAATAACGTGATGGAAAAAAAACACTTAAAACGCATTAATTGGATATAGACGTGTAAGGTTTGGTCGACCCTGACAGTAAACAACACAGTTGCATATGAACCTGAAACAATATGCTTTTAACTATATAGTGAGGGTGGGGTGAGGATGTCAGAAACGCAGGAAGTCACCCACTCGTAGTTTTGTTATTTTTATTTTATAAATTTTTGTGTTTGTTTTTTCTCCATCCAGTATTCCCCCATAGAAACACTCCTTTGTCTCAGCCCCATCAAGAACAAGCTTTTCCAATTTTTCAGTTGTGCATTTAGTGCGCTAAATTTGGACTCTTATTTTTAGTGTCTTTCGGAAATATGATTATATCCATGCTCCGTTCGTTTTAATACATATCCATTGACCTCTACTAACATACTTTCCCTGCAACATTGTCTTCTGAACTCCTTGGGAGCCAGAAGAGAAAAGGTAATCAGGAAATTCAAATATTCGAGTCGAAGTTAGACACTGTCAATGTGTAGTTTGATAGTTATCGTAGTGCAACTAGGTTATAAAGTTAGTTACACACCAACTAATTAGTATTGGGAGTTATTCTAAAATTTAACGATTAATTAAAGAAATGGAAAAGATGTACAAGAGAATAAGTGAATAAACTAAAATACTAAAATAGTTCCGGAAAAGAGAATGCAGACTTATGATAAAACACACTTATGAATTATCAAAGGAATGCAAAAGTCATAGTCCGTGACGAAGACCATTTTCAGAAATGAATTTATTCTTTAAAAACCTAAATTAAACTACAAATGTCTTTGTTTTGTTTTTCCGTAACTAACCTGCCGGAATAACTCCAAGTCGAATTGTTGGTTTTAATTCAATTTCTCCAGGTTTATGGCCCGAAAATAACGGTAGATTGAACTTACGTCTTTCGTGTAACAATAAACCTTGAACAGCTTCCGCTAAAAATCCATCGCCACCGACACAAATTACTCTGAAGTTACATGGAAGGAAAGCAAGACATAATAAACGAACAACAATCAAAGACTTAGATCTAAAGAACCAAAGAACTTATTAACAATTTGAAAACTTTATGCTCCTCTGAAAGGTAAATAAAAGGAAGTACATATCCTAAACCATTAAATGAGTTACGTACAGCCAAGCTACAAGCTCTGACTTGTATGCTATAGATTACGATTAGTAATCAATACGAAATCCTACTTCATTGTCCAACATACTAAGTATACAACTTTTAAACATCAATTTAAAATGATTACACTTGTTTAGTCAGTTAATGGTTCTAACTTCTGAAATCCACTCAATTAGGAATCGGGAACCGGATCTCATTAGAAACCTATCAGTTAGGTCATCTCAATCGTTGCAGTACTTTATCAGATCCATTAAGTCATCACAAAATAATAAGACGAAGGTTAATGAGCAGTTACACAGCATTAATAGATTATATACAACAAATATGACCTCGCATTTAGAAAAATGAAATTCTGGACCGATTGTTGTGGTAAAATCATAGTACTTTATCGACAGCATTGCTTATAAATGTTTAGAAAGGACAATTAACACTTGGTAGATAGTATACGAACTCAAAACTTAAGGACAGCCTTATTTGCAAAGCATACATCGATAATCCACTAAGAAAATTACTAACAGTGTTACATGGCCCTAGAATATGAGATCCACTATGTTGTTGTTTATGTTAGAGAATTTACACTTAGGTGACATAATATACTAAATATTATTTAGAACCTAAGTCAGTCATATTTGTGATAGCGACCAATTAAAGAAACATAAGTAGTGAATTAAATAAGTGATACCATGTTTTAAGAACATTACTTGAATGATTAAGAATTAACGACCTAATTATCCTTTCACAAAACCAATTAAATATGTTAGAACGTAACGAACGCGATTATTTTTATTCTTGTTATTGTTAATTTAACGTTTAAAATCCCCAATCTTTAGCTATAAACGGATATCTGTTGCGAAGATATCCCAATTTAGTATGGATAACAGATAATAGGACTAGTTCACCCACTTTTACTATATTCCGATAGTTATTGAACCTACTGTACTGATATTAAAACAATTTTATTGATAACTTCGATAAAAGTTTGGTCAGCGAACTTAACATCCTGGGACAAAACGTATTTGTAAAGTGATTAGGTGGTTGACTTCAACAAACGCTATCAGTCGAGTGAGAGCTTATGGCGAACTATCATCTGATTTTACAACCTCAAGTGGTGTCCGACAAGGCTTTCCACTACCTCCACTTTTGTTCAACTTCATCATATAACTACTCCTAAAAATAACGTTCTCGTCGACTGGATTTTCAAGAATTGACCTACTGCTAAGAGGTCCACTTATCGAATTGAAATACGCAGATGAGTGACATGGCTCAGGATCGATCACGATGGATTAGGTGTATACACTCTCTCTCCCTTTAAACTATGAGGTCAAAATTCCTTTATATCTTATATCCTTATACACAATCTTTCTTTTATATATTATTACCATTGAAGTAACTACTATGAATTTGGTGTTCATCTTGTTGTGCGATGAGGTGTATCAACTTGGACCGATGCATACATGTGCCTGGTCCTACGTTGTAGATGACTGACTAATTACTTTAGTAAATAAACAAACTACTACTGAATCGAACAAGATTAAACCAAATCGTTTATATATATATATATATATATATATATATATATATATATACCACTCTGGTTGATGAAGTTTTTAACAAGTGAAACTAGAGAAGAAACTCACCCATCATAAGAATCCAATGAGTTTTCAATAAGATAATCTGTCGCGTGATCCCGAGATGTTGTAGCTATATAATTGGAAAACGCCACAACAATAATAAACGTTTAATATAACTTAAATACAAACCTGCTGTCGAGAAAATATATTTATTTGTCTAATTTCTATCTTTTCTTTTCACAGAGATCCATTAACTAGGGAAACATTTCATTTTAGAAAATTACGAAGCGAAAATAACTTAAATATAGGTAACCTTAAATAACGTGTGGACTGTTTTGTATAATCTACAAATTCTTCCACATAAAAATAGCTAGCGAACATGTGGTATGGCATTTGTTCTGATATAAGATGATAAAAGTGAGAACCTCTCAAGAAAAAAAGTGGAACCTTTTTTAAAAATCGTGTGATGTTGTTCTAGAGGAGTATAGAAAGTAAAGCTAATGAGACAGCGATAGGTCTGACAATAATAGATGATAATAATATTCTATTTAACATAGAAGCTTTATGTTAATAGTATTTGTAAATTATTAATATTTGGTCAAACATAGAACGGTCACGAAAATTTGTGATTGAGTACGTAAATGCGTCAACGCCCGAACTAATGATAGGGAGTGAAATGGTTAAATGCATCGACCACCTCACCTATCTTGAAAGTCTTGTCAGGTTTGATGGGTTGGTGTCTGATAAAACTTCATTACGAATTCAGAAAAACCGGTTTGTTTTTTGCCAGCTTGTGTCACTTGTGGAGTAAGTGTGATATCCATTTGCCAACTAAAGAACGAGTTTAGTGAGCAGCAGTTTGCTTGTTTTTTTTTCTCCGTGAGTGTAAAACATCACATTTAAAAAGAGGACATTCGTAGGTTACTAGTATATAATCATGTATCTTCGAGCCGTTGCTCGTTTATTTTGGGACCACCGAGTTAGGTATTATAAGGTTAAACATAGAGTACTAAGCACAGAAAATCAATTGACAAGGTTGTGAATCTTTACCAGTTGAAGTGGTTAGGATATATACCATGTGTGTGCACCTACCGACTACCTCACAAGATGATGGTTAGTGTAGGAGTAAATTGGAAGGAAACTAAGGACAGCCAAATTAAGACATGGGATCATCCTGTGAAGACACTGACCGTTGACTGACCCCTGTAGGTAGATGCAGACTACCTGGTTGGAGTCCGCGTGATTATCATGACCATTGGCTAAAGCCTTTGAATGACATGGCTCAGAATCACTGACAAAGGCGGAGTTGTATTCACTTTTTACCCTCCTCTAGATTTTAAGTTCCTGAATTCTTAGGATCTCATTAATTTATATTTCCTCGATTTGTCTTGAATGTTTAATCTGTACTATTATCATCAATATTGCTACTACCTCTACTAGTCTGGGATTTACCCTGGCAATTTCATCTCACTGTCTTAACTACGTATAACAATTTCAACCGATGCACATGTGTGCCAGATTCTATGTTGCATTTGACTGACTGACTGACTGAAAAATGCACAGACAAATTGTATTTCTTAATTTACGTGCCGACTATATATGGGAACAATAAGACTCAATATCCATAACCCTACTGTCCTTAGTATGTTGTGTTATAAGAAAATTCAAGGTTCAAGTGTGATTTCCAGCTACGCAGCAATCATCAAATATTAACCATGTACAACTTACCCATTGAGTCCCTAAGATTTCGAAAACCAGCTTCCATTAGTTATCAGTTTTAGGTATACTATGAATACCAAAAGTGTATTAGGAGACTATATATCATTCTGTAGTCACCTGAATAATATTCGAATAAACCTATCTGCGTTCGCCGATAGAAAGTTTATTATTAGGAACATGAAAGATGTAAAGAATAATCCCTACCACGTACTACCTATAAAACATTTTAATGATGTGCGAGTATAGATGATATGTCAGTATTTCAGTATCTCAGATTATTAATTATACGTCGAATTTCGGCATTCATAAAAATGAAAGGCACCTTAAAAATCAGCAAAAAGCACTCAATTACAATGAATGACTTAGTAGCTAATATACTTGGGTTTCAAACAAAATTCTGCAAAGTTAAATGCTGTCCCATCTACGTTGATTTGAACATCTAGATAGTATTACTAGTCATTGCACAAAAAGTGTAAGGTTGAAGCTGGGTAAATAAGCTTGTATTCAGTAAATGAGATGAGTTAGTTTAAACGGTAGTGGAAAATATGAGAAACCCAACCAAAACGGCACCTAATAGATAAATATACTGTAAAGAAACGGTGTCATTTCTAAGTATACAACAAGTAACATGGGTGACAATGATACGGAGCAAATTTCCAAAAAAAATCAACGTAAATACCACCACTATAAACTCACCAACAACTTTCGTTTGAATGTTGGCTAGATAAAATAATGGTGCTACTTGGTGAGTATAAATCTGCTGTGCTTTTTTTAAGCCGCTAAAAGGATTGATAAAAACCAACAAGTTGCGTGGACGTGAAGGATCTGTATTAATAGAAGTTTTATTTATTAGTACATACAGAATATGAATTTTCAAAACAATTTAGATGCACATTTTATCATTTGCATGTATTACTACAAATCAATTATTTGATAGTTGATCATTATGTGAACCAACGTTTGAATAGATGCGAATCAACTAGGACGAGAAGTAAGATCATACATATTCAACAATACGATTAATTATTTTATACATTACTAAGTCCATCTTTTCGTCAATCTATAATTTATTTATTTAAACATAAATATTGGTACAAAGGGGCACCAGATACATATGCGCCACACAAATCAATTGATTTGTGTGAGGGCTGTGATACTGCCCAGGTGCCTAGACAGAAGCACGTGGTTCTCTTAGGAGGCCACTCCCCGAACTTTTGATCAAAAGGTCTAATCTACAAGGCAGTGGAGCAACGTTAGGTGATATAGTCTCATGGTAGTCAGTGGCCAACTATAATTTCATACGCCATTTGTTCCTCCAAGATCCTGGAGCCCATGTGCATTATTAGTTTGAAATCAGGGTTTTCCAACTCCCCTAGGTGGACTCGCCGTGTCCACCAACCTGGTTAAGGCGCCGGACATTCGCTTTTCATCCTCTCGATTTCGTAAACAACAGTAATTCCACGAGAAGGCAGTAAGACATCACTGGCAGAAGCTATATACGCGTGGCCATGTGAGAGCATTTCGAGAAAGATAGCGGACTCTCCCCACCCTCGGTGGTACCACGGCATTTGGGGGCAAGCAGTGCATTCAAGATTTATAGGATGATAATTAGTCGCTATAATAAAATACTGACTCCCCAACGAACGACAATTGACTTGGATCATTGAATTCAGTGAATAGAAGCATGAATGCATATATAAAGGACACATCGTAAGCTAACAGTATATGATTAAGACTGAGGAAAAACAAACCAAACGTGAATATGAACTTGACCACTTATATTCTAACAAACAAACTTTGTTGGACAAGTTATCCATAAATGTATTGCTACTTAATAATAGTGAACTCTCTTTGAGGAAAATTGCTTCAGTTTATTAGACTTATAAAAAATGTTAGTCTACTTCCACTCAATAAATTCAATAACAATATAATGTAATTGGTCAAAACAAGGCTGAGACAGCAATAAATAAAACCGAGAGAATATGGTAGGAGAGCGTGGTTACCATGCTTCATTCATCATATTAACGTTAAAAACTAGTTAGATAAGTTCATGTGCTCTAGTATTTACCAGAAATACATATTGCGCTTTAGTTAACGACTTCTCACGTGCTTTTATCACCTCGCACCGCAGGGGCAAACGATTCGGGTACGCGGAACGTTATCCTCGGTCTCCCAAAACCACGTCCTAAACCACATGTAGGAACTTTTAACGTCATAACGTTGTGCCAAATAGGAAAACAGGCTTCCTTAGCTAAGACTTTAGAATCTCGTACCATCAATGTGTGCTGCGTCACCGAAAGGCGTATACAAGATCAGAGTAGCGTCATTCATTTGCGATCACGCCCCCAAGTGACAGCAGTAAGGTGTTTCCCTAGGACAACCAGCATCTGCAGCGATGCTGCCTCTAACAAGGAAAGAAGGAGTTAGAAAAGGTCAACTCTAAAAATGCCACGCCTCACCATACCCTACGGATTTCCATCTCTGACGATAAGGCCCTTTGAAGAACGGAGCTAACATGTCAAAAACCTCCTACAAAAAAGCAGTGCGCGACCGGCCTCAAGAAATTTTCCCTTGAGGTCTGCAATCACGCTTCCAAGTCGTCAAGACCAACATCAATCCAACTTCCTTTTCAGGTCCCTCAAGAAATACCCTTCTACGGTGTGGGCAGCCGGGAAGTGATATTAGCCCTCATACTTGTAACAACACGAGTAGCGTCATTCATTTGACCTCACCATGTCAAAATATACAATCAACTCGGTTCATGCTTTGTGTATCTGGAAGCCCTGATGCTGCTTCCCGTGGCCTCGCTGGCGTAGGTATAGCATTGAGTCCTAGGGTACAACCAGTTCTTTTGGACTGGATCCCAGTAGACAGTCGTTTGTGCACTGTCCGACTAAACGGAGCAGTAAGGATTCAGAAAGATTGGGAAACTCGTCGTTGCCTCTTCGTCGTCTCTGCCTACTCTCCCACTGACTGCAGCTCAGACGACATAAAAGATGAGTTCCACAGGAAACTTTCTGACCTTCTCCGGAAAGCTAGGCGCTCTCATGTATTAATAGTGGCTGGTGACTTTAATGCTCAAGTAGGTAAACTAAGTGAAAGGGAAAGACACCTGGGTGGATCTTATGGTGTCGTGGCTAAATAAACAGATAATGGCGACGGTCCGTTGCAGCTATGCTAAGATAACCGCCTGTTTCTTGCAAATACTAACATTGAGCACAAAGAAAAACATCTTTTGACATGGCGACCCACGGATTCGTCCCAACGTTGGACTCAAATATATCCCATTGCTATCAGCCACCGATGGAGGAGCTCGATAGAAGACTGTCGCTCATTCTGGGGCACATGCTTAGATTCAGATCATGCTCCAGTGCGAGGTGGTCAGGATGGCCGAGCGGCCCAAGGCGCTGCGTTCAGGTCGCAGTCCACTCTGTGGGCGTGGGTTCGAATCCCACTCCTTACACTAGACTTATGCTCCCAAATGCCCTGGTACGGCCGGGAGTTGGGAGAGTACGCTCTCCCTCTCGAAATGCTCTCACATGGCCACGCGTATATAGCCTCTGCTAGGGATGTCCCACTCACTGCCTTCTCGTGGCGGGGGTGTTGTTTACAAAATTGAGAGGACGAAAAGCGAATGCCTAGTGCTTCCTTGTACCAATATTCATGTGTTTAAATAAATAAACTAGTGCGAGCACGTATCTGTCTGCGTCTTACTGGACGTAGGAAAGACGCTGCAAGGAAGCCTCTTAGGATTCTACTTAATGATAGGCAAGCTAAGAATATATTTCAGGAACAACTAGAAAAACAGTTAGGCAGTCATGTAAGTTGTGCCCACCCCGAGGCAGTGTGGAATGACATCCGAAAAGCTGTGGAAACAGCAGTGATATCTGCTAATACGGTGAACCACAAGGTTAGGGAGAAACACTGGATCTCATCAGCACCCACCGCACTGATGGATGCTCGAAAACATATCACATCTGGCTATGAACATAACGAGGAGCGGAGTCAACTTGAGCGCAGGCTAACAAGAAGCTTACGCAATGATCGCGAACAGTGGTGGGTAGCGAAATCAAGAGAGGTGGAAAAGACATTGGCAATTGAAAGCAGCAGACAACCGTTCAGACTTGTTAAAGAAACCGGTATTAGGAACCCAACTGACAAGCATCTAAAGTTTCATGTCCACTATTTAACCAAAGCTTCCCAAGTACATTTTCTACACGTATACCCCAACAAACTTTTCAAAGTTGTGTTTAATAGAGGATTGGGGTCAATACCAATTTTTTTCAACAAAAAAGGCCAAACAATCTTTTGTAAATGGTAAGTAATTGTCTTTTAGCTGCAGCGGACAACTGAGTGATTACGTTACTGAGAATCTCAAATTGATTCCAACTTCTTTACAGATACACGTAAATTAAATGTGAATAATAAGCTATTCCTGTCTAAAAAATAATTAACTTTGCTGTGGTAAAACAGACATTAACTTTGAAACAATCCGATTTTAACTCACTTGTCTTTAGCACACTGCTATTTAAAAATTCCACCCAGTCAGACACCTGTTGGTCGCAAACACAGTAGAATGTGGAGCAACGAACTTTCCAACTATACTTCTTTGCTTGTGTAGTGCTCCAAATGGTGAATCCACGGGAGTTACATGCCTTTTTCTTCTGTAACGACCCAGACAAGTCAGTGAGCCACCTCACACCAGTAACATCTGACAGGGAAGTGGTTCCGATAATATTCTTAAAACTTACTAGAAACAAGTAATAATTTAATATGTCATACTCTGTTTTATTACTGTACTGACTCTTAATTCACTCAAAGTCCTCCAAAGTATTTCATTCTTCGTCACTCCCACGATGCACGGGAAGAGATTGCTGTCCCTAAGACGATGAAGTGAACCGACATTTACACTCATTTCAGATTAAATAGATCCTGAATAATGAAGTATTGTAATACTTATTTGAAATTTGGTTTATCGATGACATTGAGTGAATTGAGATCTGTTGAAAAATTCAAACTGTCTGTGTTTACTTGACGTTCATTGATGAATGTTCAAGCACATAGTTCAATTGGCCAACTATATGAAACGCATCCTAGGACATATCTATCTTCAGGATCGATCAAGCAATGAATAGAGGTGTAGCGGCGGTGTTGCTACGTTTGTAATCGTTAGCTGCTGTGGATCTACCTCTTCTTGCTTCGAGTTCTCAAATGACTTTATCGACTGTCTAACTTTAAGATGCCATCCAAAACACCTGAATAAGTACAAATATGTTTATATTAACAACATCTACATAACTTCAGACTGCACATCATCTGCACTATTTGTTTTGGCTGATGAATTCACTGAATTCGCTGTTACCGCCTTCAGTCGTTCACTTTCAATTGTATGTGGTGATTTCAATTCATGTAGCTGTAGCCTCCTTACAGCACTAGGTCCCCTGAATGTAGCAGATTTTCCTACTCGTTTAGATGATTATTTAGACTTCGTTTTCATTAATGATGTGGGTATATATGTGACTCGTAAACGTGCTCCATTGTCTTGCTCGGATCACTGTATAATTCGTGTTCAACCTAAAGTATATGGAAAGCATGGGAAAAGTGCACTCTTACATCAAACCAAGAAAATCTAATATAGGGATTACTCAGAAAATATGCAGAATGTGAAGAACATGTTTTGTACGATTAACTGGGAAATATTTATAGATGACTCACTTCAAAACACTACAGATGTCGTCACATGTTTTCTTAAATTCTGTTTTTATATTTGCTGTCCTACTGAAATCTTTTTAAGTTTTGATCGAATTACATCTCCTCAACTAAAACGACTACGGTTGGCAAAAGAAAGAATGTACGGGGGAAAGCACTGTTGAAGTTTGTAAGCTAAATAGTAAAAAACCTAGAGATTAGACATATCAAATCCATGTTTACTCAGAAACTTTTATCTTGTAAAAACTCTCCAAGTATGTAGAAACTCTTTAAAGAACTTACAGGGGACAGGTAGATTAGAAACGATAAACGGCTGGGTGTTCGTGACTTCAGTCATCTTATGTCATCCTCTCTGTACCCACAACTTTGAACAATAATTGTGTTCCTGAAAACGACGTCCAAAAATGTCTCCAGTCACTTAATTCATATAACTTTTGGGACCTAATGGAATCCCCAACCTCCTCTCTATAAAATATGCTGACGTTCAATGTTATCCATTACCGAATATTTTTAACAGTTCCTTCTCATCTAATCTCATACCGGAAATGTGGAGAAAGATAAAGATCATCCCTATACTTAAGAAAGTATCTGGTGACAAAAATGTGAAATTTAGACCCAAAGCTATATCTTCATCTTTCCTTAAAACAATTTAGAAATTATTGGTACTCCCACTTCAACGTGCAATAGAAGAGCCCATTGATCCGTGTCAGTTTGCTTACAAATGCAAAAGAAACACTTTAGATGCCGTTACTGTTCTGCATCACATCATAGTGTTCAAATTGGAAAACGGGCAAGAAGCATGTTCGATGCGCTTTTCTGAACTATACCTATGTTTTTGACTCTATTCTAAGACAAACTTTAACTTTAACTTTAAGCTAATCAGCGTCAACTCTGGGAGCTGGATGACCAACTGGCTATGATCCTACATCTCTGGAATGGAACAGTACACTGTTGGATGAAATTGTCCAACGTCTCTACTGTCTCATGAAGGTGTGGCACAAGGAGCTATTCTCTCTTGTCTTCTTTTCTCTTTTGTTATGCATGATCTGCCATCCTTTACATAAATATGCGAGCGACTCCACAGTATGTAGGCCTAATTTTACTTCTTTACACCCTATAGAAATAAATGAGTTTTGTCTCGTATTGAATGGTGGTCTGTTGTTAATAGCCTAATACAAAATTCCTCTAAATGTTAAACTGTTGTAGCTGTAAATAATTCCCCAATATCAATAGCTCATTAAGTGTTCGACATTGGATGCTGACCACGTTGTTTAAGTGGACTTGTTTAGCTGAAGGCTTTTGGTCATGCATCCGTACCAAATCACGTTTCGACTCGGCGTGGGACACAGCTCCTACGTTTCATTAGCCAGTTCATAGAAAAGGTCCTCGATATATTGGGAACGAATCAAATATATCTTTCTTGCCTCTTCTCGTCTGACTTCTGATTTCTATCTGACTGGGAACGATCGAACATAGAATGTGCTACTGGTAACTAGTTGTAAAATTAGAACATCCGTTGCATCCTCATTGGTGAACCCGACGTGATCTGGTACACCAAGCCAATATACTGTGAGTCTGTTCCATTTTGGAATATTATTATTCATTGTTATTCTTCATTTGAATTTTATATATTGTGATATTCTTTTTTTCGCGAATTTATTTCTTGGATATATTTTACTTAGACATTTTTCGTTATCTGTATTACTATGACGGAACACTCTCCTAAGGTTCTTAAGTTTAAGTCTATTCCCCCTATTTCGATTCAGTTAACGCCATTTTGGCCAGACAATATCGAGTCCTGGTTCTGCTATGCAGAAGCTGATTTTTGCATGCACGGAATCACGGACTCGCGCACACGTTTCCTCGCGGTAGTTAAGGCGTTACCGCGCGAGTTTAACAGGTACGTAACACCTAGTATATTTACTAGTGATGTTCCCGAACCTTACGAAACGCTTAAGCTATCGATTTTGAAACGAGGAGACCTAACTGATCGACAACGGTTAGACCAACTCCTTAACAATATCGACTTGCAACATGGTTCTGCGACGGACATGTTGCTTAGAATGAGAGAAGTCATCGGCCAACGAACTTTCGATGATGGCCTATTTAGACAACTTTTCTTGTCTAAACTCCCTCAACATGTGCAGGCAGTGCTTGTTTCATTTCAAAACAATGCCATAGATGAACTAGCTGCATCTGCCGATCGAATCTTGAAAATCACTAGATCTTCTAAGGCCGAGATTTTTTCCATCAAAGAAAAGCCCCAATCGACCTCGACTGACATGGCCGAACTATGTCACACGCTTACACGATATCTTAAAGTTCGCAATGACCGTAGTCGGTCAAAAACCCCACGTAGGAGCGCTTCACATAAGCGATCTGCCTCTTGACCACGAGAGACAGAAACCCCGACTGGTGCTGATATCACAACCAGTACGGTAAATCCTCTAGAAATTGCAGGAAGCCCTGCAATTACCCGAAGTCTAAGGCGACTGACACGAATAAGATTTCGGGAAATTTCCCAGCCGGCACGCGTTAACGGCAACTCTAGCCGGTGAATACAGCCGTCTGTTATACGTCACGGATGTGACTACGAAAGTTCGCTACGTCGTCGTCACTGGCGCAGAAGTTAGCGTTCTTCCCGCGAACTCCAACGACAGACTTCGTGAGTCTGTTTTAAGTTTACAGGCGGCAAACGGAAAGCCGATCGCTACTTACGGTAAAAGGTACGTCTACCTTAGCGAGGGTTTACGCAAACCCATACACTGGATTTTCGTGGTTGCAGATGTCTCTATGCCAATCATTGGTATCGACCTGTTACAACACCACAATCTACTCATCGACACACGTTCACAAAGGTTAATAGACGGAAACACTAAGTTATCTGTTTGCGTGACTCCTTGTTCCGGTTGCAGGTTATCCCCAGTCACGATTAAGCACACCATAGACCCATTGTACCAATCAGTACTCGACAAATACCCCGGTATATACCAATCGCAATCGAAATTGCCTTGTGTAATCAGCAATGTTACACATCACATCTCGACTACAGGACCACCTGTGTTCTCGAAAGCCCGCCGACTCGCTCCCGTAAAGCTTAGGTTAGCCAAAAACGAATTCGACCATATGATAGACATATGTATAATTCGACCATCAAATAGTCCATGGTCATCCCCATTGCACGTGGTCTCTAAACAGGACAGCAACGATTGGCGGCCAACTGGTGATTATCGGCGTCTGAACGAAAAAGCCATTACCGATCGTTACCCGCTGCCTCATATTCACGATTTGACAGCTACCTTGAAAGGTACAACTGTCTTTTCGAAAATCGACTTGGTTAAAGCTTATAATCAAATACCGATGGCACCTGACGACATTCCTAAAACCGACAATTATCACTCCCTTCAGTCTTTAAGAATTTCTACGAATGCCTTTTGGTTTAAGAAATGCGGCTCAAACCTTCCAAAGGTTTATAGACGACGTCTTCCGAGGTCTCAACTTCGTACATGCGTATGTTGATGACTGTCTAATAGCAAGTTCGGACAGAGAATCACATCTCAAGCATCTGGACATTGTTTTCGATCGACTCTATAGGCATGGCATTACTGTCAACATACAGAAATGCCAAATCGGAACCAACTCCTTAGACTTCTTAGGACACACTATTGATGTCCAAGGCATCCGACCCCTTAGAAGCAAAGTGACTGCCATTCTGGACTATCCAGAACCGACAACGATCAAGCACTTACGAACTTTCAACGGACTTGTAAGTTTCTATAGACGGTTCATACCCAAATGCGCATCCCTTATGAAACCGTTAACCGACCAGCTCCGTGGAAATGTGAAATCAATCAGTTTAGACGACACAGCCCGTAAAGCATTTTCCACAGTTAAGGAACACATCGTTAAAGCAACCTTGCTTGCGCATCAGGACACTCAAGCGCCCATAAGTAGACGCATCCGACTCAGCAATCGGAGGAATCTTACAACAATGGGTTAACAACTCGTGGCAACCTTTAGGATTTTTTTCGAGACGGTTGCTAGACGCGGAATCTAGGTACAGCACTTTCGGTAGGGAACTCCTAGCTATGTATTGTGCTGTACGGCATTTCCAACATTCCATCGAATGAAGAGAATTCTTGCTTTTTACCGATCACAAACCTCTTACCTTCTCGTTAATTTCATCTTCAGACAAGTACTCACCGCGAGAGTCTCGACAACTCGACTGCATTTCGCAGTTTACTTCAGACATAAAACATATTTCTGGAGCTAACAATGTAGTCGCAGACGCCTTGTCTCGAATAAGTTCCTTAAACAGTTTCCAAAGGAATCGACCTTCTTAAACTCGCTCAGCTTCAAAAAGAAGACATTGATCTTCAGCATTAGTTATCCTCGACAACCGTGAAACTAAGTATTAAGCAGATGGGAACAAGTAAGGAAACCTTACTTTGCGACACATCTACAGGTAGGGATCGTCCAATTGTAGCAAAACATTATCGACGCAACGTCTTCAATACGTTGCACAATCTTTCTCATCCAGGTGCTCGTGCAACAGTCAAACTTATAGCCGAACGCTTTTGTTGGCCTGGTATGAATAAAGACGTGGGGGAGTTAGCACGCCCCTGTGTAAGCTGTCAGAAATCTAAGGTAATCAGACACAACAAATGTCCCTTA